GTGCTCAGTCTGCCCAGCTTCCAGCCCACTCCTGCAGTCCCTTTTCCCAGACTCCTTCCATGTCACCTCAGGTCCACCCTTCTACAAATCCCACAAGCCCAAGATGCCTTCAGTGACCTCCCCTGAGCCCCCTTCTTCTATACTCCAGCAACATAGAAGGTTCTGGTCTAGAGCTTATATCTGGGGTCCTTGGCCTGGGTTCCACTTGACCTATGCAATACAATCTCAGAAGGGGTCACCTGGGGATATCATTTTATAAAACCTCTCCTGTGGGGTCTCATGCCCACCATGGAATCAAGAATCACTGCTGCAGATGACCATCCTCCTCAGGCTTGGGGAGTCTTCTCTCCTCACTCAGACCTCCAGCTCACAAAGACCACCTGCCTACACAACCTGCCTCAAGGCAGTTTGCATGGGCCACACCTTTCAAATGTGACCCACTGACTTGTTGAGGGACAGTGAATCACACTGACATGCTGATCACTGGTCACTGCTGGACAGTCATGGAGCTGGGCCCACGCAGGTGCAGGCAAGTGATGGATGAATATTCAGGTCTCCTGCTGACCTGTGTCTCTGAGTGGGGGCACCACATGCCACCTTCATTCCAGAATTTTATCCCCTTAGAAGCCAGAGTCTGATGGTGTGTTTCAGGGCTTAAGGGCAATGCCATGGCATCGCATGGCTTTCATAGCATTCTCATATGCACTAATTATCCACTTAATTCTCATACACCCTAAGAAGTAGGCACAGAAGAAAGGGCTCTCATGGGAAAAGACTTACCTTAAAACTACCCAGAAGCTCACAGCAGAGTCAGGACTAAAACCAGTTCCTATCTCTAGGTTAGACCTCTTCACCTGAATATACCCCTTTCCCCTTTCATCTTCCTACACCCTCCCCTCGAGTGACAGCACCAACAACAAAGGCCTGGGCCCAATGGGTCAGCGTGTGCCTTCTACAGTGGTGAGCCAAGGCTGGCCTAAACACCCACAGGAACAGGAATAAGGGAGGATAGCAGGTAAGGTCATACATAGCATTGTCATTCTCTGAGTCCTGAGTATGGCTGGAGATGCAGGCTAATGAGACAGCTCCTTTTGGAAGCTCCCAGGACTATGTCTGGAAAGGAAAGCCAGGCCCTCAAGGAGTACTCAGGGGCAGAAACAGAATCAAGCCCCATGAGTACATTGCTCCAGCTAGGATCTGGCTGCCAGAGGCTGTTCTAGCACCTGAGACCCCTCCCTGGGCACCCAAATGGGATACCATAGTCTCCAAGCTTCCAACAGACAGCTAAGAGGCCTACACATGCCAGGTTCCCCCTAGCAACTGTCAGTCTCAGCCCAGCCCTCCTCCCCAAGACTGACTTCAGCTGGCACAATATTTCAGGCTCCATGGCACAGAGGAAGCTTGCTGAGTGCCAGCTCTCAGCGCCCCTGGCCCCAGGGATGGGCAGACTGCAGGCACCCACACAGAAATCAACTTAGCCATCAACCTGAGTAGGGAAGGTATGGGGTGGGTAAAGACAAAGCCATGAGTGCTCATTGATCGACTATACTATGAGCATAAGGTTTGAAGTTGGGGCAGATGGGCCATTTTCCTAGTAATTAATAATTTTATAGGTGGGATCAGAGTCACTGGAGGGGTCAGCAGGCTACTATGACTCTGACTGATTGGTCCAATCTGTGTGAGTATAAAGGATGAGTCCAGAAGAGGCCTTGGGCCATGGAGCCCTCTAGAAAGTATTCTGCCACTTGTGGCACATCCTAACGTATAAGGTACCCCCAACAGCTTCCTCTGCTTGCCCCCATCTTGCCGCCACCCTCCTCAGGACAGGAGAGCTCTAGGCCAGGACCACTCTTCACTGGCTGGGCTACCTAACTGGTCTCCAGGTGCTTCTGCACAACAGAACAACAGGTCACCATGACTTTGACAGGAGAAGGTTTAGCAGACACAAAGTGAAGGTCAGAATAAGGTTCCTGTCCATGATGAAAGTCTGTCTTGCCAGAAAATAATATAAAGATATTCTATAGATTTGACACATGCAAAGGCCCAGATTCAAATATCCAGAGAAAAGTTTATCAGGTCAGTATAACTGAGTGAAGCCCAGAATCATCCAGGTTTGGCCCAGCCAGGCTCCAGGGCATTAATTCTCAGGGCTGTGTTGGAGGAGAGTAGCTTGCCTTCCCTCCCCAGTCCTGCCAGGACAGCTGAAAGGGGCTCACCGTGCCTCACCCACAATTCTCTGGCATCCCCCATTCTCCATGCTTCTGGCCTGATGAAAACTGGCTACACTAGGTGGGCCACGCCAGAACTGCCGTCAAGGGCTATGGTGCCTACCTGACAGCACAGCACAAGCACCCAAAATGGGTGGGGGTACCCTCGCCTGGAGACACATACAGGGACGAGTCACAAATCCTTCCACATGCACTGCCCATCTCCATCCAAAGGGTGCAGAGTCCTCCCGATATCACCATCGATGGCCAAGACCTCTTTGCCTCCCTGGGGCAGCCTGCTTAGTTCTGGAAAGGGAGTCCTGGATGATCATCCATCAAAGCCAGATTACTAGCAGAGCCAATGGCTAAGATTTGGAGGATGTATCTTAAAGTCCTTGAGATAGAAAAAAAAGGGGGGCTTCTCTGCCCTTCTAGGACACAAGCTCAGCCAGGCTGCTGGGCTGTGAGACCCATGACACCACCTGGCTTGCCACTCTCCACTCTCAGAAATGCCACCAAAACGTGGCTGCCTATGCTTCTAAAATGGCAAAGTGATGCCCTGGCCACCCCATTTCCTCCACCCTCCAGCGTGTTTGCAATAGGCAATTTGTGAAATCAAGTCAGTTTCATAATAACTCTAGATTAGGAACGTCCACCAAAAGTCAGAAGGGGGTTGGAGCTGGGTAGGGAGAATGGAAAGAAGCCACTTGGATTTACTTATTTGTCTCCATAGGCCATCCCACAACAACCGCAGGAGGTGACTTGACAAACAGCACAGACAGCAGAACCCCCCCAGAAGAGAAAAGTTCCAATTAGCCCAAAGAAATGAGAGACTGTTCCCAGAGTCCCAATTAAATCAGAACCAATCAATGCTTGCCCTGGTTCCTGCCATTCTGCTCGGGAAATAATGGGAAAAGCGAGACGGCCCCAGCCAGCAAGTGCAGTGTGGCAGCTCTTTGAAGCCTGAAGAAATCACCAGCACTTTTGCAAGCGTGCCTGGCAGCTGCCGCACCTGCACCTTTAAGAACTCAGCCTAGTGCCCGGGTCCCCACTCAGACCCTGACAAATACCAAAAAGGGCGCCTCCTGCCCCACCTCCAACCGGGGGGACAAAGAGGAACGCTGTGGGGCCAGGCTAGGCTGGTTTTAAAACTGTCTGCCTTGATTCATCACTTGATCTGGCACTCTCTCCCCTCTGTTTCCACACCATCCATCACGGGCACCATAACCAAGAAATCCAATAAAGACACAAAGGCCTTAGTTCTCCGCTCTCAGCAGGCCTCAGAAAGGCTGTGTGAGTGCCCCAGCCCAGGCAATTAGCTGAGTCCAAAGGATCGCAGAGCTGATGGGCATTAGCAATCCTGTGCCTGGTGCTTGGCTGCAGGTGTTTGGGGAGCAAGGTAAGAGAGGAAAGGGACAGGCAAAGACAATCTGGTGGTCAGGTGGAGTGTCGGAGGGGGGACAACAGGGAGGATGGCTGATAGGAAGCTCATGAGAGAGCAGAGGGAGCTAATGGAGCTCCAACTCCAACCTGCCCCCAGAGGTCTGGGGCAACCTAAACGATGAGTTAGGGTCAAGGTGGTCATTTCTGAGGTCTATGTGGGAAGCCTTGCCCTTGAAAGAATCTGAAACTTTGAATGCCACAGGCAAAATTTAATCGAGGAACGAAGTCTTCTCTTCCCCAACTCTGGACACCCCCTCCCTGTATTCAGCTTCCATGCACTTACTAAAGAAATAAGTCATGGATTCTCTAGACCATCCTATTCATTCTCAGAGAAGAATCTCAAGCCAGTTCAGCTCATTTATTGCCATGTATTAGACATGTGCTCTCTTGGACTGAGGAGAGCCAATGTGAGCACACAGTTCCCTGACACTCCCAAACTGCCAAGTTCGTATCACTCTGTATCCTTCGGAAGCAAAAGTAATACAATACCTGATACCACCTCCCCCCATTGCATTAGCTCATCTGCTTCCAGTACACAAAAGCTAGGTCCACCCCTGCCCCTGGCATTGAGCCCCTGGAGGAAGACAGCTGAGCAAAAGGCTTTGAGTTAATGAGCTACATGGGTTCAAGACCAAGTTGGGTGCTGGGGGAACTGAACTGAAATGACTTAAAATATTTTGCAAATTCAGTCACTTCTCAACTACCCTTGAGTGAACTGCCCATGACAACCCAAATTCTCTATGCTTCAGAGCATGGGGCTGGACATGATGCAGGTGTGTGTGCATGGTGAAGGTCAAGAGAGTGCATATACACACAAAACAGAATATGAATGTCCAGGGTTATTACGTGATTACCTATCATTTGGAATTCTCTCTATCTCTTCCCCCATCATGAACACTGCATTCTGGTTGGACACAGTTGAAAAATCATCATAGCTGGGGATGTAGATGCCCCAGAGCTTTTGTGTGTGTTTTTTTTTAAGTTTAAAATTTATTTTTGAGAGACGGAAAGAGAGAGAGAGAGAGAGAGAGAGAGAGAAGCAGAGAGACAGGGAGGGGCAGAGGGAGAGACAGAGAGAGAATCCCAAGCAGGGTCCGTGCTGTCAGTGCAGAGCCTGATGCAGGGCTTGAACCAAAGAGCCATGAGATCATGACCTGAGCCGCAAAAAAGAGTCAGATGCTTAACTGACTGAGCCACCCAGGAACCCCCCGACTCCCACAGAGCTTTGTAATAAGCCATCAGGCTCTTCTGCTCCTTTATGACCCAAAGCTGGAGGTGGGGAAGATTTGCAGATTGGACCCTGTCCCAGGTGGGCAAGAAGCAGAGGCCTTAAGAGGCCCTAGGACTTACCCTTGCAGGCCACACTGTTCTCGGGCTCATAGCCAGGCTTGCAGGTGCAGCGCCCAATGGGCACCATCCACTCTCCATCCCCATTGCAGTAGAGTTTGATGGGCACGTCCACTTCCTCTGCATTGGGGATGCATGTCCCCCGAGCAATCACCAGAGACGTGCTCTCTGCCCCAGTCATGGTCTCTGGAAACACGGCAAAATTTTGCACAATGCTGGGACACTTCTTGAAGAAGACGCGAACAGAAAGGAGAGACATACAGGCTCCATAATCCTGGAAAGCGAGGTAAAAACCATTCCGAGTAAGAGGGCCAAAGCTCCTGACTTCTGTGTTGACCTTCATCAACCTTCCCCCAAAGTCCACCTGGGAGAAGCTCTCATCTGCAGCAATGGTGTCTACTTTGAGGTAGGGGGCCTCAGACCAGAAGGCTGACTTCTTGGTGGCAATAACTGAGTCCGTCTCATAGTAGTACAAGTTGAAGGTCTCCTTGCAGGAACCTGGGACGTTGGGGAGGCTGCTGCAGTCTCTCACAGTGAAGCGCATCTCTGTGTAGATGCGATGAGCCCCCCGCCGGTTGATGAAGGTGGTGAGCAGCCAGTTGTTCTGGTTGGGCTCAAAGACGTTGCACACCTGGTAGGTGCGGATGGTGTTCAGGTTTTCATCGTAGCCACTGACTTCTTCCCACTGTACCAAGCAGGCCGCAGACACACACATGCAAAAACACAAAATAGAGAGTAAGAAGAAAAAAAGAGGCGGAGCAAAGACGCCTCGTTCTGCAGAGGACCTTATGAGCTCACCAGTCCAGCCACTTGACGTGAGAAATAAAACATACCTAACCCTAATTTGTTTTTAAAGACCTCCTTATATGCAGACTTCAAATATTTCTCTGCTGGTCACCCTGAAATAGAACAGACTTTACTCTAGAAAACCTTCCTTCATCTAACCTACAGCACTCCTGCTGTGACTATGGCTCATCACCTCCACAGGACAAGCCTGCAGCTATCTGCCCTATGTGATGGCAAGGACTTGATTCCTGAGTGACACAGCCTCTCCTCTCCACAACCACTCTGTGGATTAGGGGTCTAATTACAGAACACCCCTCACCTTAGAAATCCTCATTTCCGAACCTAAATCTTTATGGTGGTTCTTTTAGAGTTGTGAAAAGCATATGAATATAAGGCTTTTCACAACCTCTCAACAAACTTAGATTCTCATAAACTTTTGTTTTATAACATCAATTCCTTTGAAAAAGCTAAACCATAAAACTGGTAGGAGTAGGGGCTGCTAAGTGAGATGCTTAAGGAAACAAATCAAGCTTCATTGGGTGCAAACTGAAAGCAGGGATGTAATGGAGGAGAATGCTGGAGGATGTCACATAGGGAGGAAGGAGAGCTTCTTAACGGGAGAGACAGCATGCTTCACACTAGAAAAAAAAATTCTCATTTTTAGCAGCCCTGCAGGTGGGAAAGAGAAGAGGAACAACACATTTATTAAGTGGTGTCTCTTGATCTTCCCCTTAACACTGAAAACTAGATATTATCACCCCCAATTTACAGATGAAAAGATATCATGCAATTCACCCATGGTCACATGGCCATAAGAGACAGGATAGAGAGGAGAAAGAGGTATTTTGAATGGCCAAAGAAATTCACTTCCACCAGGGGTGGGAGGAGAGTCATGGGGCATTCTCTCTTCCTTGGGTTGGGACAGGAAGCCACTACCTGTACTGGCGAGCTCTCAGGACCCTGACTTCAAGAACTGAGAGTATTCCCAGGACGTTTCAATGTGTTCATTAAATTCTGTTCTGCTTGCCAGAAACAAATAAGGGACCCAAGAAATTAAACTTCTCCTTTTTAATGTTCATTTATTTTGGGAGTGGGAGAGAGAGAGAGTGCACACGCAAGAGCATGTGTGAGCAGGGGAGGGACAGAGAGAGAGTAAGAGAGAATCCCAAGCCGGCTCTGGGCTGTCAGCACAGAGCCTTATGTAGGGCTCAATCCCATGGACTGCAAGATCATGACCTGAGCCAAAATCAAGAGCTGAATGCTCAACTGACTGAACCACCCAGGCACCCCAAGAAATTAAACTTTATCTTACGTGAAAAGAAAAAACAGATGAAGATCCTTGACTTTAATATTTAGCAGTGGCAAAAAGTAAAAGTACAAAATAGTATCTATTTCTTTAAATATTGTGCTAATTGCTTATTATTCACAGTGTAGAGCTGAAATATATAAAATAGAATTCTTAATTTAAAAAGCTGACGTCAGGGCACCTGGGTGGTTCAATCGGTTACGTGTCCGACTTCGGCTCAGGTCTTGATCTCATGGTTCATGAGTTCAAGCCCAGTGTCGGGTTCTGTGCTGACAGCTCAGAGACTGGAGCCTATTTCATACTCTGTGTCTCCCTCTCTCTCTCTGCCCTTCCTCCACTGTCTCTCTCTCTTTCAAAAATAAATAAACATTAAAAAATTTTTTTTAAGTTGAAGTCAATCTTATGTGCATGGAAAATATACACAGTTGCTTCTTGCACAGAATTAAGCCCCCTGCAGGAGCAGGAGGGCCAGGCTGCCCTTCAAGCTTGCGCCAGAGCATCTGAGACCAGGCGTGGTGTGTAGAACAAACAGGCACGTAGAGAGCTGGCCCCGCCCACCCAGACCTGAAGAATGACCTCATGGCCACTTCTGCCGCCCGGGCCCTGCCACTGAGGCACCTGAGTACCAATCTATCCAAGGCTCTTCTCCCCCATCCCCTTCCAGCACCCCCAGGAGTCAGTCTCTTCCTCAGCTTGGAGTCCTTGGTGAGTTCTTTCCAGATCCTTGCACATTGCCAAACGTCACCTGGAACTTTGCTTAATTTCTTATCGATTCTCTAGATGTCAAGGAACCACTTTTAACCCCTCTTAAAGACTCTGTAATGTTCTAGTTAAATGTGTTTGTTAAAGTTATGTTCTGCTTGCCTGGGCTTCTGGAACCAGAAGCAAATATATTACAGAGAAGTCGCTGACAGCTGTTTTAGTTTCAATTTTCAGACCTCTCTCCCTTTCGTGGCCATTTTGAAATAACATTTCCCCAGTTGACCCTACGTGACTTCTGAGAGGACAGCTTTCTTTTGCTGTTTTGTAGGTGCTTAAGCACAGCAGACTCCTAGTCCATGACTTCAGTTGGCCTGTGTGAAGTGGCGACACAAACACAGGGCCCCTTTGTCAATGCACAGGTGAAGCCTGTGGCCCCATTTAGGGCAGGGACCTGTCCCAGCCAGAGCCGTTGACCCACTCAAGACTGCTGCGGCTTCGCTATATGGGAGCAGGACAGGAAGCCCGCCTTTCAGGGCTCACCTTAGCACTGAGACTGTCACCACCAGCAGGTCTTAAATAGACAGAATGAGGCGTTTATACTCTTGCGGAGCGGGGATATTGAGAACATTTATCTTAGAAAATGACACTGATTGGTATTATAAGACCCAATAGAGGTAATCGTTTCAAACATTAACCTCTCCGGGCCTCAGTTTTCTCATCTGTAAAATGAAGAATCATACTGGGTGACCTCAAGTTATAAAATCTACACAGATTTAATTGATTCCATGACAGCTCCTAAGGGAGCGATCAAAGCAAATTAGGAGGAATACAGTTGTATATTCAAAGGGAAAGAGTAGAGAGAAATTGAGAGAAAGGAAATAACTTCCCTGTTGTTTGGGGAAAGGCCATCACAGAGCCTCACATTCATTTCTTTCTCTCTTTCATTCTCCTGTCAGCAGGTACGACAGGGGTTGGAAAAATATGCTTACAGAGTGGACTAGAGTAGGCATGAATGCCTTCCGGGCAAGAGGCAATTAGGACCGGGGGCCTTGAAGAAAGAGAATTATTTTGGCAAACAGAGAGGCGGGTGGAATGGCATTCTTAGCAGGGAGGGACAAACATTGTTATTTGTCTGTGATATCTGGAGTCAGCCTCGTTGCTTTATAGTTATACCTCACTCATTCATCAATGAAAAAAAAATATTTGCTGAATGCCAACTTTATGCCAGGTATTCTATTAACCACTGGGGATACAACAAGATGATGCTTATAATCTCGTAAGAGAAACAGAAATTAGACAAATGGTGATTAAAATAACTAAATAATTACAATTGTGCTAGCTGCTGTGAGGGAAAATTACAGGGTGCCTAGAGAGGGGGTGTACCTGATACAGAGAGGAGTGTCAGGGAAGAACCTCCAAACTGAGAGGGGATGGACGGATAAAAGTTAGAAGAAGTGTGTGTTTGCTGGGGCCAAGAGGGACAGAGGAGGAGTGGGGAATCTAGGCCCAGGAACAGCAATTACAAAGGCCCTGTGGTGGGAAAATGTGGCCTGGAGCCATTGAGTAATGCTGCCTGTGTGACAGAAGAGTCATAAAAAACTGCAGATGCAGGAATAAGACTGAGGAGAGGGTGAGTCTGGTCAAGAACTCTGAATTTCATCCTGAGGGTAACTGGAAGTCATTGATGAGTTTCCGTGAGGAAGAGTACAGGTGATCAGAGCTGAGGTTTTAGAAGATTTATCTGATGTAAAGTACAGATTGGGTTGGAGGGCCACCCCAATAGATGGTGGGGACAACTGGGTGCAGGTATGGTAGTACAGGCAACAGAGGACAGTAGGTTGGAGTAAACCAGTGGAAACTGAAAAGATAATCCTGGGGTAGAACCTCTAGGTTTTCTTGAGCCGAGTGTGGGGTGGAGGACAGAGAGAGACCTGACCAGACCCAAGGCCCACGTATCCCTTAACACTCTTCCACACATCAGGCTTTGAGCTCTGCTGTGTCCCTGGGGCACACCACTCCTAACTCCTTACAAGAGTGGATATCCTACCCGTGGATGTGCAGAACTCAGATTCTTTCACTCAAGGCCTGCAACAGCCCTGGTCCCTGTGACACTCTCTCACTGCCTATCCCCAAGCTGATTTCCTACGGGTCTCTGTTCAGTGGCAGCTTCTCAGCCTCTCCTTCTAGGCAACTGACATACTGCTTCTGTGTTCCTTTCTATAATTGTCTTTTACCATTAAAATGAGAACAAAGCACCATGATTTGCTTATCAGCTTGGCAAAAAATTAAAGAGATACAATAGCAAGTCTTGGTAAGAATCTGAAGCCAAGGGGACTCACAAGCCTAGTGGCGACAGTGTGACTGGTGGAATCTTTTAGAAGTCAAATCAACAGTTTCTCTCAACATTTCAAATGTTGGCCACAACTCAAATAAGCAGGGAAAAGGTACATCATTAAAAAAAAAAATCATTGTGATAACTGAGTAGCCATCTGGGAAAAAAACACAGCTTTGCATCCATACCTTGTTCCTTACTTCAGGATAAATTCCCAGTGAAGCAAAGATTTAAATATTAAAAGTGAAACCAGAAAAATACTAAAAGAAACCCTGGAGATAATTTATGTATAGTAATTATGACATGAAACACAGAAGCCACAAATGAACAGATTGATCAATTCAGCTCTACAAAGTTTTTTCTTTTTTTAAATTTTTTTTTTCAACGTTTATTTATTTTTGGGACAGAGAGAGACAGAGCATGAACGGGGGAGGGGCAGAGAGAGAGGGAGACACAGAATTGGAAACAGGCTCCAGGCTCCGAGCCATCAGCCCAGAGCCCGACGCGGGGCTCGAACTCACGGACCGCGAGATCGTGACCTGGCTGAAGTAGGCCGCTT